TTTAACACTTTGCCTTTTGTGTATGTGCATATTTGCTTCGTGTGTTTATATATATATTTGTTTGTTTTGCTGAGCCATTTATAGGTAAGCTGCAGATAGGACGTTTCACCCGTAAATACTTCAACATGAATTTCCTTAAAAGAAGAGCATCTTTCCACATAGCCACAATATCATCACACCAAAGAGAAAGAACAGTAATTCTCCAGTATCATCTAATGTTCAGCCCATATTCAAATATTTCTACTTGTCCCTAAATTATAATTGTTGATGTTATTTAGCCAGAGTTTCATCAGCGTTTATTGACAGTGTTTAGTTATTTCTTTGTTCTCTTTTTCCAGAACCTCACCTCTTGCTTTCCATGATATCAACTTTATGAAAAAATCAAACCACTTTTGTAAAATGTCCCACATTCTAGATTTGAATGTTTGTTTTTTAGTAGTATCAGTAAAGATACTGTTTGCTTTATCCTCCAGTATTTCCTATAAGACTTGATCAGATTCAGGTCTTTGGCAGAGATGTTTCATGGCTTGTGTTGTGTACTTCATATTGTATCACATTAGGAGACACAATATTGAGTTGTCTCACTATTAATGATGCTAAATTAAACTACTTGGTTAAGATGCCCACCAGATCTCCATTGTAAAGATACTTTTTTTTCTTTTTAAGAGTAGAGTCAGTATTATAGTCACCCACCAGTGGTGTCAGTGAGTTTCCTTGTCCTTCTCTATCACTATGAACTCAAGAATTTTTATTTTTTTAATGGTTTCTTGTCTATTGCACCTGTTGTTCTTTTTGATACTCCATGTAATTAAAAGTCCTTGTTACCACCCTGCTAGCTACCACTTTTCTTCATCATAGTCAGGCTCCTTTAAAAATAGTCATTGTCAACTTTTACACTACCTTTCAACCTGCTGAATCTGGTCCCCCTCCCCCACCTCCAGTGGCTACAATGTCAATGGTTTTCTACTCAAATCTAATGGACTGTTTTTCTTATTTAACTGGATCTCTTTGAACGTCCACTATTACTAACATACCACTCTCATGGTTTCTGGTTTCTCCTAGTTTCTATTCTTTGAATCAGAATTACCTATGGGCAAAAATCTTTTTTGGCAGGGCCCTTGTCTATATAAACAATTATTTAAAAATGTGTTACAGGGCCGGCCAGTGAGCTCAGTTGGAGCGCAGCCTTGTAACACCAAGGTCACATGTTCTAATCTCCATACTAGCCCCCCAAAGATGTATTGCAAGATTCATGGGCCCCTGTATGGTAGAGTGGTTTATCANTTTGAGTTATAGGAAGTATAATGATGTTTCTGATATTCGCACATTAGAAAATAAGCAATATTACAACTTAAAAAACAAACAATATTATAGGTATCCAAAGAACCAAGGTGAAAGTTTTACAATTTGCAGGAAACTTATGTATCCATTAGAAACTCTTCACAGTAGTCCAAATATAAGTACAAATACATTAAAAGAAGTGCCTTGTGGACTTATCAATAATAACTTAACACAGAGCAATTCTACTGGTCATGAAGGTAGCTATGATGCTTCTGCTGATCTCTTTGGTGATATTGATAAAGAAATGGACATTACAACAGAAATTATAGAAAAATCACAGTATATTTTGTCTTTGGCAGAAAGTCATCCTGCAGAATCTGATTTTTCACTGAGATCACCTGAAAAGTCCAGCCAGCCTTCACAAAAATTATCTTTGCAAAGCATATCTGTCTCTAGGTTTCCAAGAATATGCTCTCCTCCACCTCATTTTCAGTCAGATTCAGAACATGATTTTGAAGATAGCCAAGACTTTGTTCCATGTTCACAGTCAACTCCAGTTGCAGGATTCCACCAAACAAGAATTCATGGGGTGAACAGAGCTTTCAAAAAACTACCTGCCTTTTATTCAGATTTTGATGCTAACTGTAAAAAACAAAGATTTCTCCCGAATATGACAAGCGAGCCACCCCAAATTGTCCAAAAAATATAAAAACACCCATCCAGAGATCCAGAAGCCCTATTATAGTTGATATTGCACAACCAGAGGCTTTAAACCACTCAGTCCTATTGCTGAGTGCCTTGAAACTGATGGTGATGAATTGGTCCCTCCTACCACAAAGAAAGTATTTCTTTCAGATATGCCTGGATTCCAAGTCACCGGTCTTAGGAAATGCCTTGGTGCCCATAATTCTCCTAATGAAAAAGAACTACCAAGAAAGAAACTGAAACATGTCAGACAAAGAACTGATAAATGTGTAACTAATGAGTTAAATTTAAACAATATGCTCACAGCAAGAGTTACAAAACAGAAAACTCCTAAATATAACTGTAAAAGTTCAGGCTGGATTGCCAAAGAGTCAATTCTTGGACTCGATTCTTGTTCAGATGTCAAATGTTGCCTTCCGTTTTCAGAAAATTGCCCAGC